TGGAATGATCATGGGCCAGGAGAAACCTTACAAAAACAAAAATGCCATTAATAATGGTGTTCGGCTCTCTGGAAGAGGTAAGAGGGTGATGCACAGACCTGGGACCCCTACTGATGCTTATTTACTTAATGTAGGTTTCATACATACTAGTTTTGTACTTATTTCAAAATTACAAAACCTAGGACATAAAGGATATAACAAACCAAAACAGCTGATGCATTTCAAAAGTGTTCTAGTACCTTCCCCCAAAGCTTCTGCTTTATGCACACATTCCACCAAACTCTATAGCTCATTGAAGGGGTTTCTTTCTGTGGCTTAAGTAGTTTTGCTTTAAAAAAAATCTATTAATCATAATGGATAGAAACTTTTATTTACCAGTATTTTTAAAAGTTGACATTTCTGAAAGATTTTAATGTGAAATATTTCCAGAGGCTTTTATAAGTTCTAGGTAAAGCAGGTCTACTGGTACTCCAGACATTGGATTTGTTTTTTAATTCTTTCAAAGTATAATATACATGCAAAAAGGTGCAAAATACACAAACATACAGTTCCGTGAATTGTTGCAAACTTGTATTACATCAAGACAGAACTTGTCCAGTCTCCCCAAAACCCCTGTTAGCTATTGCTCAGTTACTGCTCCCAGAGAGGACAATTGCTACCCTGGCTTCTAGTTTTGCTATTTTAGAAGATTGTATAAATAGCTACCCTAGAGGTTGAGATAGAAGGATCCCAAGTTCAAGGCCAGCATAGATAACTTAGCAAGACATTGTTTCAAAATAAAAAATAAATAAAGGGTTGGGCTGCAGGTCAGTAGTGGAGGGCCTCTGGGTTCAATCCCCAGTACAGGGGTGGGTGGTGTGGGGAACATAGAATTAAACAGAATGCACTGTTTCCTGTGGGGTTTCTTCCATTCCACATCATACTTGTGATGATGCTCTGTTTAAATCCACGTTCACTCTTCCTCATGAGTGGCATTCCATTATGTGCATATACTTGTAGCTTCTCAGCTATTCTTTAGATGGGCATTTGGGTATTTTTCAGTTTTAGGTGATTGAGAAAATACTGCTAGGAACTTTCTTGTACCTTTTAATGAATATACATATGCATTCCTACTGCAGGTGAGATCAGAGGATATTCTCTCACCAAGGTTGTGAGGGAACCACATCTTTGAGGAGCTGTTTGGTGGCTGTCCTCTGCAGGCCCCAAATGACAGCAGAAGCAGTTGCCATAAAACTGGGTTCTCTGAAGAGGTGGCACTTAAGAGCCATAGTAGTCAGCATGGTCACCTAACAGGCAGCAGTGATGAAGCAGTAATTCAGATTCATCTGAACCTCAGAGATTTGTGGTATTGGCTCATTTATCATGGTAACACCAGAACTGAATGGATGGGCAGCCTATTGGAATCTTGCTCTTTTTGAGAAAATATCTAGATCTCATGATCAAAATTCTGACTTTAATCATCACAATAGTGGGTTACAATCTCCAGCCAGTTCCCAGACTTGAGCCAGTTCAGTCCCAGAGCCCCTTCAGTGAAAGAGAGTAATTTTGTATACTAAATCTTCCAAATGCATTGTGTATTTTATGCTGAAGCCCATCTTAATTCAGACTAGCTACATGGCCAATGCTGAATAGCCACAAGTAGCTAGTGGCTACCATATTGAATAACAAAATTCTATATAGCCTTTTTTTTTCTTCTTGGCCCATTTTGACCCAGTTGCACTTAACAGAGTAATATGTTCAAGCCTGCCTTTATTAGTGTATTTCTATTTTTCCTTGCATATCTGTAGTCTTTGCTTCATATAGACGATTTCTGAGTTACTTAACACATGAATGTTTGTATCTTACTTATGAACCCCTGGCCATTACCAATTTACACCATTCTCTCTAGTCTTGTTTCAGTGCTTCTTGGCCTGAATTCTACTCTCTGGTAATAGGAACATAATTCTTGCTTTCTTGTTGCTTCCATTTGCTTAGTGAATCTTTGTCCAGTACTTTATTTTTAGCTTTTTCTATTCTTGTTTTATTTCACACAGCATAGAATTTGGTTTTACTTTTCAAGCTAATAGGAAATGTATTAAACAGACAAGCCCATTCACACTTACAGATATGACTTATATATTTAATCTCAACACTGTCATATTGTTTTATAAATATTGCATTATACTATTTCTCTACTTGGTAGTTCTTTTGTTAAAGGTTTTTTTGATATTTAGAAGTCTATATTTTTATTCCATAACCATTTTTATTTTTGAAGTCTAATAATTTTATCAGAATATGTCTTGGAATAATACTGTTTGGGGTCAATTTCCCACTACCTCATGTTCTCCTGCTACTGTTCTTCAATACCTCAATTAGAGTTCATTTGAGTCTATTCTCCTTTTTGCATATTGTAATTTTAGTCTTTTTACAGAATTGTCATTTTCTTCTATTCCTCCCAAGTTCATTCAACTGTGTTTCTTTTTGAAAGTCATTTGTCCATTTCTGTTCTTATGTTTAAAATGTCTGACTCAAGGCTATTGAAGTCCAGATAATAATTATACTTATTTTCTTTTAGGTTTCTGTGTCAAAATTTTCTACATTAAGCCAATTAAGTACAAAGGTTCTATCAAGAAGGGAGAAAAACTGGGAACTCTTTTGCCCCTGCAGAAAGTTCATCCTGGCATACAGTCACACATACACATTGAAAACTGTGACTTAAGTGATCCTACTGCATACCTGTAAGCAGAAGACAAAGACAGATCTTCTAAATAGAAAGCCATCTTCTGAAAAACCTGGATGCATATCTTGCTTCTCAAGAAATATGTGTTCAATCAGAAACATGATAAATGCAAGAAAGAAAACAATTTTGATTTTGACTCAGTTACTTTGATGTTTGGGTATGAACTAATTTCTGGGGGGCTCTCTGATCTTTCTGTAATCTTCAGGATCTTGGGTGGTTTAGGCTTCTCCATCCTGAAGACCTAGGATAAAAAAGTGAATTCAAGCAGTTTACACTGTATTTTTTGACACCTTTGAAACTAGACTCTCTTCTGTGTGAAAAGTGAGAATGAGCCTGAAGGTCTTTCTATGGCATAAGAATGAAGGGTAGCTTATGATGCTAGCTGTGGTATATGCTTAATAAATCTTAGTTGAATAAATTGGAGGCTTCTTTTGAGTTGAGGTAATAAAGATTCTCAGCAATACCCGTAGGCGTATCAAACTTGGTACAGGGAAAGCTGCTTATACATGTAAGAAAGGATATGCAGATTCACATCCATGCTTTTCCATGCTATAAGTAACATATTTTCCAGGTAATAGACAATGGCATATTCCAGAAAGAAACATTCTAGGTGTCAGTGAAGCTGCACTTCAGAGAGTACTATACAAGAGAGATGAAAGCCTTTATCTGAAGCATCTTATGGTCAGTTGGCCTTATCGAGTCACATGCCTTATCTGTCACATCGACTTATTTACATGTTACTATGTATAATTATATTATTATATATCTATTATTCTACCTCAGTTATGTTGTGAAGTACAAAGAGGAAACAATATCATAAAATGTCCAAAGGACCAAATGTAATTCTGGCTCCGTAGAAGTAAATTAGTCAATATGAGATGTGGAATTGCATTAATCATTTTGGAAACTTTCTTCATAGATTTTTGTTAAAATTTTTTTTTTGAAATATAGAAAACTCCAGTAGAATAATTCCAGTATTACATGTAGAAATGTTAGAGGAAAAAATAATTAATTGAACCTTATCACTGGAGAAATCACTCCATTTGTGTACTAGGTCTATATGTTAGAATGTCCAAGATATCACTATTTGTCAGAGCAAAATCCAAAACAGTCCAAATGCCCTTCAACAGTGAAAGAGATTTTTTTTAAAAAACTGTGACAGCTACAGAATAAAATATAATAATCATAATAAATAACACCAATTAACAAAATAGATGAATTATAGAAATAACAATTTTGAGAAGTCAAAAAAATCACAAAGCATGATATGGTTTTTATTAAGTCAAAACAAAATCAAAACAAAATTTCTAAGAACACAGAGAGGTAGTAAATTAAAAAGGAAAGCAAAAAAATAATGAACACTAATTACCTTAGGACTAGGTATAGGAGAATCACATAGATTTTAGTTATTAACAATACTGCAGTTTTTCATTTGGGGGTAATTTCATGGGTTCTTACTACTATGAATGATATGTTATAGAGGCAACAGGACACTTCCTGTTCCTAATTGGCCAGGAAGAAGCCTAAATGATGATTCTCAGATAGCTGAGAATTTATGCTCCACAACTAGCACTTTCTTGTATTCAGTTAAATACTTTCCTCTACTGTGTTATAACATTCAAAACATCTAATATAAGACCAGTAAGTTAAGAATTTATTTCTTGCTTAAAAAGAAAAACAACGTATCCAGTAGTGTCTAATTTGATGATCTCCCTTATTTATTTCCTTGGTACTCAATAACTTTAGGTTGTTTCCAGAAATCAAATTTCTTCCAAAAGATAAAATTCGTGCTCCTATTGAAGATACCAACAAGGAAATGGCACACAGTTTTTAAAGGCAATTTTAGAAGAGCCTTTAAAATATTTGAACCATAAAATTCATAATCACTCTTCCAGATAATCAACCTTCTGAGGTAGTGAAGAGGCAAAACATTGCTGGACGTAGGTACTGCTTTTAAAACCAAGCCCACCTGGAAATAAACTGCTTCTCCAAAGTACAGCAAGAATGCCTTCTGCCCAGCATGCAAATATGTTCAGTGGAAATGCAAACTGTAGACTCAAGGATTTCTTTCTTAGGAAAAATTGGAATACAGCGCCCTCTGGTGCATTGTATCACAGTGTTTATATCCCCTTATTTTCTGATTTGGATGTCACAATGTTTATTTAACTTTAGTTAAAGTTCAAATGACAGTGGAATAGTAGTACTGAATAACTTAATTTTCTTTAGTAAAAGCGACTATAATAAATACTTCAAAAACTGGTGTCAAATACTACAGATTCATAAGGTGAATAAGATAAATTTTTATTTAAAAATGTTTTGAGTGAGCTGTACAAAATTAATTAAATAGAATAAGTGATCAATTTATTCAGTTATTTATTTTTGGCATTTAAGTAAACTTTTTATTGAAGTATAGTGTACATAGAGCAATAAGTTAATGAATTTTGATGGCCATGAATGTACCATAACCCCCAGTGAAAAATAAAACATTATCACCATCCCAGGAGCCCCTTTTTCTCTCCTCCGGTCACTTCCCATCCAAGAAAAATATCACCTTAATTCAAAAACCATATACCCACATCCTGTTTTTTGTTTCCATTTTTTCCATGTTTTTTATTGGTGCATTATAGTTGTACATAATGATGGATTTTTTGGTTACATATTCATACATGTACAAAATATAACAATATAATTTGGCCAGCATCACTCTCTTCCCTCTACCTTTCTTTTCCTTTTTCCTCTCTAGTTTCCACATATAAAACATATGCTCCTTGACCTTTTTGAGTTTGGCTTATTTCTCAACATAATATTCTCACGTTCCACCCATTTTCCTGCAAATGACATAAATTCATTTTTCTTTACGGCTGAATAAAACCCCATTGCTTATATATACATTTTTTAATCCATTCATCTGTTGATGGAAACCTAGGCTGGTTCCATAGTTTGGCTAGCTGAACTGTGCTGCTATAAACATGGGTAGGCATGTACCTAAGTGATCAGTTTATAAAGGACAGGCCTACAGAAAGAATTCTCACATCCTTTAGATGATGTTTATCATACTTTTTGGCACAAAAGCAATACAGATACACTTAAAAAATTTGCCTGCCTATTGACTCATTTCTCTGTTATTTTATACAATACCAATGAAACAAATGTCCACAAGGTAGGAAAAGAAAACGCAAAAAGAACCCCCATTCTCTCCATTTACTTTCTTGCCCACAAAATTATCCAAATGATTCTAAAATTCTCTAACAAATGCAAAGAAATATTTTTAACATGAACAAGTATGCTTACAGGACTAAATTTTTTTCAAAGACTAAAGTTTGAAATCTAATAACAAACTTATCATTTATCTAGAATTCTCTAATCTTAGATAAACAACTTTTCATAGACTTCCAAAACATATGGAATGCTTTCATTAGGTAAAGCATTAAAATTTATATTTTCTGGCCTTGTTTTGGGCTATCTTAAAATCTTTTTCTTTTCCATTTATATTCACTCAGTAAACTGGATCAATCAGGGGAATTGATATGAGTTGGTAAACTTAGATATCTCTTTTTGAGTTTTGCTCTAAGGTTCGTTAGAGTGCTTAGTTCACAAGGCTCACCAGCAGGCCCCTGAAAAGCTCCAGTTAGGGCATAACTTCTCATCACATGTGAATAAGTCAATGGTACTCCTTCTCTCTGTGCTTGACCACTCTCCTCTAATACCTCTGTTTGCTTCCTTAGCTACCATATAACCTCACCATACCTACAGTATTCTCTCAACCCTCTTCCAGTATGACATGTTAAAGCAACACAAGGTGAGACCAGAGGCTTATCGCTGCAGTATCCACCATTACTCTGATCACTAACTCCATCCTAGTCAAGACCTTCTTCCTTCTGCCTGCTTCCTTCCCTCTCTCCCTCCCTTCCTTCCATGCTAGGGGTCTCTAGTATCCAGGCAAATGCTATACCACTGAGCCACATTCCTAGTCCTAAAGCTACTTCTTTTGTGGTTCTGTTACCCTGATCAGGTTCTAAGTTTCCTATTATTGGCTGCTTCTGTACTTTCTGGAAATCTTAAGTTATAGAAAGATGATCTGTAATAATAACACTGTTTTCAAGAAATTGGTTTTATTTTTTATATTTTTGGTACCAGGAATTGAGCCCAGGATTGTTTAGCAACTGAACCATATCCCCAGCCTTTTATTTTTTATTTTGAGACAGAGTCTTCTAAGTTGCTTAGGGCCTGGCTAAACTGCTGAGGCTAGCTTTGAACTTGTGATCATTCTGCCTCAGCCTCCTGTGCCACTTACAGGCATACACCACCACATACCCAATTTGGTTTTATTTTTTAACCACTAAACTCAGTTCCACTGACACTTACTGATCAATCACTCACTAACATAGCACCCACTATCCTGAGAGAGGGGTGAATATGAGATGCCTGCCCTTTAGAGAGTTCACAGCAAGGCAGACTGTGTAATAATGATGAGAGTATAAGAAAAGTCCTAAATTAAGGAATATAAACATACTACTTTTAAAAACCACCATTTACAAACCACAAATGCATTCTAATTGCTAAATAGGCAAGAATATTTAAATTTTTATAATTAAAGATATTCAAATGTAAATATCTGGTAAACATTTAATTTTCTTTTTTTTTAAGTTTAATCAATTTCTTAGAAACTTAAAGACACTGGGGATAGAAAGCAGGGAAACAAATTTGAAAAAGAAAAGTACTTAAGTAAAGTTTATTGAGAGTCTACTATGTGCTAGCTAGTACGCCAGATGCTGGGATATAACAGTAAGGAAAAAAAAATACAGTGGTCTTACACTGATGGAGTTCCCAGTGCAATGGAATAAATGTGTAATAGTCAGACAAGTAAATGGTAAATGACACTGATAAATGCTGCTAAGAAGAACCACAGAAGTGTGAGGGCATCCCCAACCTGGACCTGACCTACAGGCATGGAGAATGGGCCAAGTGTTAAGGAAGGCTTCTGTGAGGAAGTAACATTAAAGAAAGATCTGGGGGAGCAGAGGGTAAGCCAGGTGGACAGAAGATGTGCAGACATCTTGTGCCTGGAGGACAGAGGACAGTTAAAGGAACTGAGAAAATGGCAGAAGGATCAGGGGCAGCATGGTGGGAGATAAGACAAAAGAAGTGGGGAGGAGGCACATGGTGTAGGTCATTTTAAGGCTACATCTTCATCCTAAAGACAATGAAGAGTTTTAACTGTGCTGTTAATTAAATTATGAGATCACTTATGCAAAAGAGCTGGCATAATCCCAGATCCATAACAGAAGGCCAGGCTGATTCTCCTTCTAACACATCCTCCAAAACTCACTTCTTTATCTGTGAAATGTACTTAATCAACTAACTATCGCAATGTCTTTTTTCTTTTCATAGTATCATTATAAAAGGCATCAGAATTATTTAATTTTAATCTAATGCCAATTATCTTCCAAGTTAATATAAAGTAGAATTTAAATTAGAAGTTGTTTACTGACTCACAAGATGATCTTACAGAGTGCTAAAATTTTTATAAATATAATAAATTAAACTTCTGTATTTATATTTTGATTTTACTCTAATTTTTCATACTAAATATTTTGTAAAATGTATTAGTACCAAGAGGAACCAGATACAATTAAAGCAATATGAAGTGTAAAGTAAAAGGCATAACTGAAAAGATACAAGTTTAACATTATATATTTACTTAGTAAGCTAAAATATGCCTTCAAGGAAGGGGGAAGAATCTATTCAGTTTTTAGCCCTAGCCTATCAACAAGCTAATCTATAGTGTCTATGCTCTGTTGACAAAGATTTCTGGTTACTGACATTTCTTATACTTTTTCACATGATTCTGCAGCAATCCAATAAGACAGTTTGCAAACAATAAAATATTTAACCTAAAATATTTAGGCTACGCATCTTAAAGTTTACATTTGCATAGACAGAAAGCAGCTAATCTTATTGATTATTTAAAATGTTCAGAATCTTTGGTAGTTGGTCACCAGATAGGCATCACATCAGGGAACCACACTCTCCCCAGGTATTTTGAGACTTCAGTATGAACGTCATCGAGGCTATAATTGTCATCAGGGATCAGAACTTCCTCCATGATAGAGAGCTGGGTTAGTCTTCTCCCACAGAGTCTGACAAACTCAACGAATGCACTGCAGCTAACTTCACACTCACTGAGGCCCAAAGCTGTTAAATTTTTACAGTGTTGGGCAATACAGATAAGCTCATTATCAAGAGGCTGAAGACCATTAGCACACACCACTAACTCAATTAGTCGTGGGCAGTTAAGACCTATCTGTCCTAGAATAGCTTTGCTTACTGAACGACCAAAATAAAGGTGAGTAACTGGGGTTTCTTCTTTGAAGAACGGCTCAAATTCTTCTTCATATAAAAAGAAGTACATAACAACATTAACTCCAGGGGAGTGTTTAATAAGTGCATCCCAACTGTGCTTTTTAATAGGATGAAATTCAATCTGTCCAGGGTTTTCACTTACAACATCAATTCGAAGATGCTCAAGGTTAACATGAGTCTCGCTCGAAAGTGCCAGGAGAAGTTCATCACTTAGAATGTAATAATTCAGCGCCAGCTCTTTAAGGCCTTGACAATGGTCAGCTACACAAAGGATTCCTGTGGAAAATGGGGAAAAATTCTTAAGAACAAATAATCATATTGATACTAACATAATGCTTTGTAAACTTAAATTTGATAGCATTTACTATTTGCTACACAACAGATACCTAACGATTTCCGAGATGGTTGCCAAGAAACAGGATTATACATATAATACAGTCTATATTCATGTGTTTGAATATATAATGTAATTAAAATATTCTCAGGATAAGCAATTTAAACTATATCCAGCTTACTGATTGACTTATTTGAATAAAATTAATGAGTTAGGTTTCATAAGCCTATAATTTTCAATAAGAAATTATACTGTTATCATTACTATGATAAAACATAATTTTATTTATAAAAAATATAAACTACCATCAGATGAAACATGAGGACAGCTACTCATTTTTAGGAGTCTTAGAGTATCACTGTTATTGGCAACAAGAATCTTCAATGAAGGATCATCCACTGGTGTGTCTTCGATTTTGATTGATGATAATGATTTTGAATTGACAAACACAACTGTAAGTGCTGAGACAAAATGAGCCTGGCAGGGCATAAGAAAAAATTTATGAAAACATTATTTAAAAGTCTACAGCTTCAAATCAAATAATTCATTAAAGCTATGTCAACAAATGCAAACAATCACATATTACTATTATTCACAGTACCATTAACTAGTAGAAGAAATTTTCATTATAACAAAATGTATATTTATATTTTCATAATTAGCAAATGAAATGGTGAGAAAGGGAGAAATTTCAAAAATTTCATAGAACAGGCTTTGCTGTTGTTATTTTCAACCTTAAGAATTTGGTGTTCAATATTAAAAAGATACAATTATATTAATTTCCTAGAGTAGGAGTTATCAAATTATGGACCACTAAATTCAGCCCACAGTCTTTCTATGATTTGTGACTTAAGAATAGTTTTTATGTTTTTAAAAGATTGAAAAAATTATTTTGTAATGTGAAAACTACATGAAACTCAGATTTCAGTGTCCATGGATAAAGTCTGCCTGGCACGCAGTCCTGCTCCTTCATTATGTACGGTCTGTGTTGGCCTTACACTGCCATACCGGAGCTGAGTGTCTGAGGCAGAACTATATGGCCCTCAAAGCCTGAAATATTTATTCTTTGGACCTTTTCAACCCCTGCCCTAAAGAAATAGAAATTTTATGTTTTCTACACTTCCATATTTCAAGACCTAAAATAGTATGTGACATATAATAGATGGTCAATAAACAGTTGTTAAGAAAATGAATGGTTAGATGGATGACACACTCTTCACTGACACGGTCTTCCTAACAAATTATTTAAACAAAGTAATTCCAAACCTTTAAATGTCTTAAAGATTTATAAATTAAATTTTATTTATAGTTTTCAAAATGAAAACAATTCCACAAGGTTTCAGATGCACTGTTTTCTGGTAAAGATAGAAAGTTTGGAACTCAAATTCAGGCATGATCACTTTTCCTTTTTTAAAATCAATTTGCAACATTAATAGAACCTACTAATGATTTTATTGTTCCTATTAGGTTGACCAAACTGGTTGAAAATGCAAATTCATTTATAAGCAAACACTGATTATAAATTGGTTCACACAAATTTTCAGAGGGAGCTGGGCGAGGCCTCTACTAGATTTTATGGTGTCAAATTATTTTTAGAGAAATATAAACATACCACTATTTTTTAAGAAATATGAGGTTCATTTTTCCCTTAATCAACTCCTAATTAGCTACTTTAGTCTAAAAGGCTGTTTAGAGTCCATATATCACTATAACAACAATGTATTTGTTTAGCACTTTTATGCTTAGTAAAATGCTGCAATTTTATCTTATTTTTCCTTAGTTTGCCAGCAAAAAGCACCCAGATATCATGGAGATCCTCAACCTTGACAGCAGTCACAAAACTCACTTTAAACTGAAGTTTAATTTTTGGTGTCTGCTCTGGTGACTGCATCAGCTCACCTAGAAGCTGGCCCTGGAAGCTGATGTGCAACAGCAGCTTTTGAAGAAGCATTTCAGACTAATCTGATTCTATAGATCATAAACAAGGAAATACCTATGCAGAACCAATAAGTTTTCATCTGATTATTTCTATTATTCTATTATCCCAATGCCAAATTCCCCATTTTTTCAGGGTTTCTGAATAGGGTATCCTGTGTATCTTTTAGAAGTAGGATGTGGTCTGTCTTTAGGTAAAGAATTATTTTTCACTGAGTTTGGCAATATTTCAGAATTTTAGTATGTATCCACAAAAAAACACAATATCCTTACCTTCGACACATTCATAAAACTTGGCTTAGCTGTTGAAATCAGTCCCAAGGTCTGGATAGAACAATTTACCAGCTGAGAAAGTATATCACAGGCAGCTTCTGCTGACTCAGTACTACTATCAACCTACAAAAAAATTTTAAAATCTGAATTTCCTAAATTTCAGAGTTACTGGAAATATATTTAATAAAATTCAACTGTACAATTTTATTTATCCATTTAATCAATACAGATGAATACTTCTTTATACAAAATGTCTCAGATTAAAAAGTAAGAAACAGATGCAATGACAAATCAACTTGCCAACTAGTTCATATTTTCAAATCTTTTATAATTACCTGAATTTCAATAATAGCATCCAAATGAAGAAACTGAGGTTTAAGTTAGTCAGTTATAATCCAAGTGCTATATTTCAATCTACTCAGTAGCTAGAGAAAAACTTGAAAATTTTTGAGATTAAAATTTCTGCAAAACTCAAAGTACTTCCAGAGAAGGATCTAGATATACAAAATGGGTGTTGGTTGTTAACAGGTAGAAGAAAAGATCAGATTAGAAGAAGGTGATTTTCCAGTTGCTCCATGGTTCTGGAGTTAAGCAGCCAGAGTACTACTTCTCAGGAGGTGGGCGACAAAGGGAATTCACTGAAATTCAATATGAGACAGTAAGAGAATGATAGAAACATAGAAATTCATGTGCTTTGCACAAAGGACAAGAAAAATCACTTAGGAGCCAGGCCAGTGGCACCAGTTCACCACTGAAAGAACGAGGACACAGGCAGAGCGACAAAGAAACACAGTGAACAAATTAGGTGTGGGAAAACCAACAGAATGGAGAAGTGGTCTGAACTCAGCTAAACCAGAGCTGCACAGTGTGTGTGTTTAAAAAGTACTCCATGTTTCTGGACTGGCGAGTGGAGAGCTGAGGCAGGGAGCCATCCTGAGGCAGGCAAGCTAGGCTTGCTGCTATGGGAGCTCAGAAGACCATAAGAAATACTGCCATGCTGCTGTGGGGCCTAGATGATGCCTGGAGGGGCACAACTGAAATGGGCACAGAGAGGATTGTGCTCAAGGCAATTCAGGGTGGGGATACTGAGGGAGTGTGGCTCACTTTCGCTTTGTGTCTGGCAGCTCACATGACCAGCTGGGGAGAATCCAGAAGCTGGAGAGGCAGGTACAGTTATATAATCTGATCCAGGAAAAACCACCTTGCAAGACCTGTGGAGGGTTAGTCATCCTGCCCTGTGAGTGGAGTTCTTTGGAGGCCCCTGAGATTCAGAAGCCCAGCAGAGATCAGCATCTGCCCAGCTCCAGGTTGTGTGGATCCAATTTCTCTGTAGTAGATACCACCTGACAAAATTCCAAAGGTATGGTCAGAGCCAATCTCCAAACCCACCACTGGAAATTCTCATTTAGAACTGTCCTGATTTTTTGTTTTGCTTTGATTTTTAAATTTATTTGGTTGTTTTTGCTTTTGCTTTTTTTTTCTTGTTACCCTTTCTCCTCCATTTAATAGCTAATCTCTTGTTCACTATTTTGCTTCTTTTAGTTATTCTTTACTCTTCTGTTATAGCTGTCACTTGCTGCCCCTCTCCTCCTCTGTTCACTTTCTGAATATTTTAAACTTTCTATTGCCTTCATACTCATTTTCTTTTCTCTTAATGAACTGCAATTTTGTCATCTTTTAGAACTAGTTTATATTTAGTTTATGTAATTGCTGTCCTCACCATTCACATCATTGCAGGTATTAGTCCTGTGGATGGCCAGTTGACACCTGCTGTTTACTTTAATGCTAGATCTAGTTTATGACTACTTATTGTTAACTGCTGACCCTGTTATTCCTATTTTTGTGGTAATTGTTGTTGTAGATGTCATAGTAGGCAACAGACATTTATTTTAATGCTGTATAACATTTCCTGCTGTCTTTTTTGTTTCACGCCTTTCTGGGAAGTGATTGAGATACAACTGAGTTCAGGGGGTGGAGACTCTGCTACTGAACTATATCCACAATCCAGCCAAGTGACAGTGTATCTTGCTTCACATATAATCTAAGTCCACTCAGGATTCAATGATACTTTAACACATAGAAGAGGAGAGACAACAACCCACAATTAACAACCAGGTACCAAGCAGGAATGGACAGAGGGTAGCCCTCAGATTTCACTATTGGACATATGTTCCTACAGTAAAACCAGAGAAGTTTCAAAATGATGACTGAGAGGAATCCACTCTCCAAGAGTGACTTAAATCAGCAGTTCAGTAGAGGCAAAGTGAGAGGCACTGGCAGTTGAAATTAACCCATGGAATACACTGAGCCTATGTGTTGAAGCTAAGATATACCAACAACCCAGGACTTATTCCAAAAGAGATAACTACATACTAAAGGATCCTCTCATAAAAAAGAAGGAGGAATCCATCTTAACAGATGTGCAAGTCTAAGACCTCTAAAAAATGTAAGGAAATAGGCACACAAGGCTTCCTCCAAATTATAATCCCCCAACAAAGGAATCCATACATACTAAAGGGGATAAACTCCAAAAAAAATTACAAAAATTGATTATTAAAATGATTAATGAACAAAAGAAGACCTAAGGAATGAATTAAGAGAGCAAACACAATAGTAGAAAATCCATTTCAATAAAGAGAAAAAGATTTGAAATGAAACCAAACAGAAATCCCGGAAATGAAAAAAAACACAATAAATCCACAGAACTTCAGGCCTCAGAGAAAGGGTATGTGAACTTGAATACTTAGTATCCAGTAAGAAAAAAAGAACATAGTCAGAATACATAAGAACTGGGGCTAAGGCTGTATATTGTCTAGCATATGTGAGGCCCTGGGTTTGATGCTTAGCAACACATAAAAATAAATAAATCAAATAAGGCACATCTACAACTGTCCATTTACAACTCTAAAAGAAATTTTTTAAAAAAATAATATACAAGAACTCTGGAAAAACATTAAAAGACTTAAGAGTCATTGAGATTGGGAAGAAGGCATGGAGATACAGGCTAATGGCATTTAGAACATTTTCAATGAAATTACAGCAGAAAATTCTCCAAATATTAGGAATAAGATAGACGTCCATATATGAGGCAAATAGATCCTCAAATAGATTTAAAAAAAAAAAACACCTCCAAGGCACATCAAAATGCCTAACAGAGAATAAGTATAAAATATTAAAGTCACAGGAGGAAAATGTTAAGTCACACATGCAGAGGTAAACAATAAGGCTCATTTCTGCCTTCTCAGCTCATACTCTCAAATCCAGGAGGGCTTGGAATGAGGTAATCCAAGCTCTGAAAGAAAACAATTACCAATCATTATTATTATATCCAGGAAAGCAATCATTCATAATTTAAGAATAAAAACTTTTCACAATAAGGATAAATTAAAATAATTCATAACCACTATGCCAGCACAACAGAAATTACTTTAAACTATACTCAAAAAAACTCAAAAACAAACCCCAGAGCCCTCAAATGGATGAAGCTTGCTAGTAATTAAGCAAATGAAAATTAAGACCAAATTAAATATGTGAATCAATGAAAGTAACAGAAAATAATAAACATCTTTTCACAATAACTCTGAATGTAAACAGTCTCAAAAAAAGAAATATGAACGGCCAACAAATATATGAAAAAAAAAAAACGTTCAACATCCTTTGCAATTAGGGAAATGCTAATCAAAACTATACTGAGATTTCATCTCAGTCCAGTTAGAAAGGCAGACATCAAGAGTACAAAGAGCAATAATTGCTGGCGAGGAGGTGGGGAAAAGGTACACTTTGTTGGAAGCAATGCATATTAGTACAACCACTTTGAAAAGCAGCATCGAGATTCCTCAAAGTACTAGGAATAGAACCACTCAGGTATCCCATTCCTTGGTATTTATCCAGAAGATCTAAACAGTATAGTGATACATGTACACCAATGTTTATAGCAGCACATTTCACAATAGCCAGGTTATGGAATTAGCCTAGGTGCCTGTAAAGAAGAATGAAATTTTATTTTAAAGTAAATGGATAGAAATGGAGAACATGTTGAGTGAAATATACACACTTAGAAAGTCAAGATTCAAATGTTTTCTTTCATATGCAATAGATAGAGAAGATAAAAAAGGAAAAAAAAAGGAGGGGGTAATCTCACAAAAATAGAAGACCAACAGAATAGAGGGAAGAAACTGAGATGGAGAGAGAAGGATGGACATGGGGAAGAACTAGAAAACAAAATCTACCATTTATGTTATATCCATGTCATGTACGACTATACCATAATGAATTCTGCATTTCTCTATTTTTTTATAACACACTAATTAAAATAACAATAGTAGTAATGGATGGGTAGAGCAAGCTGACGGGAGAGGGAAGAGAAGAGCGGAAGGGAAGGTACTTGGGAATGAGATTGATCAAATTATGTTATATGCATGTACAAATAAGGCAAAATGATTCCCACTATTATATGTAATTATAAATCAGCAAAAAATGAAATACGCAAACAAAAAGCTAACACAGCATATAAGCCAATTTTTCTATAATGCTTATTTTTCTTACCTTAAAACTGACATACTGAAGATGTACAGCATGCTTTTTAATGATCTGCTGAATGAGATCAGGATGAGTAGACCTAAAATATGAAGTAGCTGATTGGTTCAATTCAAATTCAAACTTCCTCCAAAGGTCAGGAATATGAAACACCTCATTCCATCTCCTACACACTGAAGATGCTCGGGCCCGATCTATTAAAGGAAGATACTGAAAAATTCGTAATACCACATGGTGAGGCAGACTCCCCCAGTCGAGAACAACAGTGGACACTTGAGTCTGTTTTAGAGAAGAGCAGAACCCAAGTTTGGGCTGTTTCACTGCTGGTGAAGACTGGACAATTTTATTCACAACAGAGAAATTGTTCCTCTTCATTCTGTAAACATTAGAAAATGTTAAGTGTTTGATGTTTTTCACATTTCTATCAACTATTTGCAATTTAATTGTACAGAATCATATTATAAAATGAAAATACTAACACAATTTTAGTAATAATATTCCACTTTCATGCATTGATAAATGCTGCTTTGCCCTAGGGATAGAGATAAATAAGTGTAAATTTATTCTCAAAGCTATGATCACATGGGGAAAAGCATTGATAAAGTATATGACTGAAGTTGGAACAAGACACAATGGAAGAAAAGAGAATGGACTTTGACTGAGTTTGCATGTGGGAGAAGTGGTTGAGGAAGCTTCCAAGAGAAAACATCTAAGGAAGCAGCATATATCTCAGGTTTTGTTTCTGTTTTTGTTTTTTTCCTGGTCAATTACTGTATCATACTACTCCTATAAAGGAGGAAGCATCACACTGCAATTTTGCTAAGAACTCCTGAGAGGTCTGGAAGACAGGACAACATAATTGAAAGTGTAAGTCTAGATAAGTCTCAGCTATGCCACTCACTAATCAGTAATCTTGTCAGAGATAATTACTTGAAGCCTCAGTTTTCTCAGCTGCAAAACAAGGATTACAGCAATACCCAGCTAATAAAATTGTTGTGAGGATTAAAGCACTTAGTGTGGCAGCAAACAGTAAGTGCTCAAATAAGTATTGCAGTCTGTATTGCTATATTAAAATTCCATTTTTCTGAACTATTTTTATTTCTATGTCAAAGTACAATTCTAACAAAAAGTCAAATAGTCTACAATAATTTTCAGATGACAGCTGGGACACACAAGCTCTAGGAAAGATGCATACAGCAGGGCCAGAGTCTTTGTGTAAGTAATACATCGGATCCTCTTCAGTCAAAGATAAACAGCAAGTGAGCAAGTGTTCTTCACTCCCCACAAAAAGAAATGCTGGATCTCTAGGTATTAGCCAGCTTGGGATGCAACTAAGTTATAACAAATTTGAAGTTCAGATATATCTAAATATATATGGTCATTTTCTACATATACTTTACCTGAGAATCTCAAGTATACAATTATTTACAAGGCAAAATAATGGTAAGGGTGGTTTTGAACTGCATTTAATTCTAGTTAACTATTTAATCATTTCTTTTACCCTTCAAAGTTAGAACTCTATATATAGAAGATTCAATTTCATAATTGAAACATACCTTTAAATCTAATGAAATAGTTATTTAATGTGTAAATATATCTGTCTTGTGAGTCACTCTGTCTGATATGAAACATTTCTTAACCACAACATAGAGTTGGATCCCAGAAGCAGGATTGACCTATAAAGTCACTAAACAAAATGAAGTTATCTTTAGGGTTTGGAAAACCAAAACGAGAAACAAAAATAGTTGCAAAGCTATATCCCAAGCATCAGAAAAGCTACTATATATATTTTAGTTTGACTAAACTAGTTACATGCACAACTTTGAAACTAGCAATTCAATGTAAAATACATGAAACTGCTGACTATCAATAGTTCAAAGCAAATGTTACTAATCTACTCTTTAATGCTAGTTATCTATAATAGTAATGTAAAGGTATAGAAGCTGGATTCTAAATTCAGATGCTGAGAACACTCATTAACATTTTGCTTGTACTGTTTCATTTGGCAACCTACAGAATACATAGTTAAAATTTCACTAAATTATTACCAAAGAAAAGTTGCCCCTAATAGAATCCTGTACCAGAAAATCAGTGAAGCCAAACATAAAACAAAGACTTCACCCAAAGGCAGGTTAGAAAACCACTTTGTAATTCTCTAAACAGGATTGTGTTATATATTTAAATATAATTTATGTAACATGGATGGTTAAAATTATTGGATAAAAATCACTAAATTAGCTGGGCATGGGTAGCCAAAAACTATAATTTCAGTGGCTCAAAAGGCTGAGGCAGGAGGATTTTGAGTTCAAAGCCAGCCTTAGTAGCAACTTAGTGAGGCACTTAGCAACTCAGTGAGACCCTGTCCCTAAACAAAATACTTTAAAAATGGCTGGGGATGTGGTCAGTGGTTAAATGCCCCTGGGTTCAATCTCCAGTACCAAAAAAAAAAAAAAAATCACTAAATTACCAATTTAATGATAGAAGAATCACCATAAACTATTAAAGGATATGATAGTAATACCAATAATTTAGTAAAATTAACATTTTGATTTCATTTTCCTTGTTGCATTAATTTTCATCCAAAAATTATAAGCTTCATAAAAACAAATTTATAGCTATGTGCATCAATAAAATATATTTTAGAATGCAGAACAAATTGATCTTATTACCTTGAAAACCCTGGTATAAAAATTCTAGCCTATACATGTAGAATCATTTAACAGAAGATCATTTCTTTTTAAAGCTAAAGAAATACGTTGTTTCTTTTTTGAGACTTTCTTACCTAAAGAAGGCTTCCAAATTACGGCTGACTCTGAACCAATAAAGTGAGGTACCTGCTGTTGCAGAGAACTCACCAATATCCATTTGACTTCACTTCCTGTCTTGACAAAATACAAAAAAAAAAAAAAACACACACACATTCATCAGAATATATAAGTCAATATCCAATAATTTTTATGCTTAGGTTATTTATATACATTTGTGTACATGGTAGAATTCTGTTAGGAAACTATTAATTCCAAAACTATCTTTGACCATTAAAAAATAGCCTGGTTAATGGAAATATTGCAATACTTGCCAAAAATTACACTTTAAGCTCTACTAAGGCTATGGATCAAGCAGTCAAAGAGCTCTGAAGATTCACATTCTAATTAATATCTATGCAGAGACACTACAAAAAGTTTAAGGTAGTTCACGACAATATTTGTTTATTGATTATGTAAATATTTCAGTTCCAGTTTTCAGCAGCATGTTACAATAATGAAATAGGCAGACATATAACTTTTATTACTTTATCATTCCCATATAAATACATTTTTGTCTCCTATTAATGGAACATATGCTTCTGAATTTTTTTCAATGTTTCAGTTATATTGAAAGATGTGGTATTGATTCATTAATACTCTTGAGCCTGACCAATTTCAGGCAAACTGACTGTCAGAGTTAGGATCAAAGTCTATAAAAACTGAAATTAAGAACAGGTCTCTCCCAAGATAAAACCTATGGCCTTGGTATCGAGGATAAATGCTGTCTAGTAAAATAAACTAATGTCTCTTACTTTTGTAAACCAAACTCAACTACGTAGAGGAGATAGATGAAGCAATCTTATTGATACACTAAAGAGTGGTAAATCTCTACTTTCTACCACCCTTCATTTCTCAATTTGTCTCTGAATTCTACTCCCAAAGTAGAGCTTTGAAGGATAGACAGGGAGAATGAACTTGGGCTCAATATTTACAATCTGATGTCCCCACTGCCATCTGTTCTACCATTAGCCAAACCACTCTTTACCAACAATGGCAAGGTGGCTCCTCCTCCTTAACATTCTATGGAGAAGGGTGAAAGGAATTATCAGACACACTTCCAGAGAAACACGACAAATAGGAGCAAGACAAGTCCAATGACGTGTATACCCTGGAACAGATGACATTTAGTGAAGAAACTTTTCTACTGACTCAAAAATATGGCTAATTCCTGTGTCTGTAGAACATTATTTTTATTTTTTTTAAAATTTATGAATATATAATACTAAAACCTTTTATGGGGTTCACTGTAATATTTTAACACATATTAAACATGTACTGAACAAGTCAGGGTAATAAGCATTTCTATTTCCTTATTATTTCTTTGTGTTTGGAGTCTTTGAGCTCCTCTCTCTAGTTCTCCTTAAAATGTAACATGTTATTGTGAACTACAGTTACCCACTGTGCTATGAAACACTAGAACTTGTTCCTTCTATCTTACCTGTTATCTAACCCTCCTTCCCAACCCCTCCTGGCCTCTTGCTTTGGATCCTCTACAAGTTTCTAATAAATCTCCCACAGAGATCTGAGGGCAACATTATCAAAGTCAGATTAGATGGGAGACTAATTGAATGTCCAGAGCCAACCTGGCAGCAGCAATCGAAGCAGAAGCAACTGTCTTCAGAACCATCATCAGCCTCTTCTCAATAGCCTAAAAGAATTCAAAAAAGGTACTTCAAAAAGTCTCAAGTTTTCAATTATCATAACAATAAAAATAATATGTAAATACTGCAGATAACAGCATAACAATTAAAAACTATCCCCAAAGTCAAAGACAAATTCGTTAGAAACAGCAAGATGAAAATGAACACAAATAATTATCAAGCCAGGTGTAACAGTTCTTGCCTGTAATCCCAGCTACTGTGGATGCTGAGACAAAAAGATCCTGAGTTTGAGGCCAGCCTGGGCAATATAGTGAAGACCTATCTCAAAATAAAAAATTAAAAGACCTGGGGGTATAACAGTGATAAAATGCCCCTGGGACCCATCACCATACCTAGAGAGAAGAAATAATTATCAAATGTCCTTTATTTAATCTACTTTCTAAAGTGGCATGCTAAGAAATCAGACTGCTACCAGAAGACAAAACAAAATTTACTGGTGAAGTTATCAAAAAGGTTTATGTTCTTTGTGGACCACATGGCCTCTAAGTTCCCTTCTAAGTCTAAAAGCCACAATTAAAAAATATTAAAAGTATTAGTGAGACCCTGTCTCCAATTAAGAAATATAAAGGGCTGGGGGTGTGGTTCAGTAGTTAAGAACCCTGAGTTCAATCTCCAGTACAAAAGTAACAATAATAAATAAAATAAAATGAAATTATTATCTGGTTTCAAAGAGACAAAAGTTAAAAAGCACTGATGATGTCAAACAACTCTTTCACAAAGCAGTAATTGCCTTATTGACTAGTAATTTTCTACACTTGCAAGATTGTGGTATCTTAATATATATTTCCTTAAAAATAAATGTTGTTATTTTAGAATAAAGTTCTAAAGTAAAATAGTTTATTCTTAAATAAATCACATGAAGACTGAAGTTTGCAAAAATATAATTGGATTGAAACAACTTGTGAGATGCAAGGAGAGGGCTGCAAATAACTTGAAGTGGGCAATCTGTTAAAAATCCCTGAATGGGGGCACTGAGACAGCTACGCCCTGCTCCACTGTCTTCCCAACCTCTGCTCCCTGACTCTGGAAGAGAAATGGCAGTGAGGACACCCAGCCAGGCCGTCTGGTCTGCGGGGAGGTTTTCTGAAATGGGTCAGAGACCCCCCATAGTACCAAGGACACCACGGGCTCTACCCATTAATGCAAGTGATTCCATAAGTGACTTTGCAACATTTTTCTGAGAGACAATAATCAGAATTTATGCTTCAATTTCGTATTTTGGGGAAAATTTCTTAAGAGGCATGACAAAAATCAGCAAACCTTAAAGCACATAGATTCTTTCAACTCACAGAAAGGGCCAGAGTCTACTTTTCTTTGAGGCAAATAAAAACTTTCTCACACTATAGTCCAATGAACTGCAATACTGCAAGAAGTCGTGCACGTGCAACCTCTTGAAAAACTCATGCATTTTTCAGCGACTGCATATATTCAAACAACAACGCATGCAGGCTTGAGAGAGGAGGTGAAGATGAAATCCTTTTCAGTCTTACCTTCCAAACAGTAAACATGTGACCGAATCAGGCGGCCTGGGTCAAGTGCCTAGCACTGCATTAAAAAAAAAAAAAAAAGATTATATATATATTATATATATGATGAAAACAACAACCTGAGGGCCGTACACGCGCAAACCACCCGAGCCCGAGGCGAAATCAAAGCCTCGGTTTTCCCTGAGCCGGCCCGGTTCCGCGGGCGGTAGGGTAGCTGCAGGGGGAAGTCCAGCAAACCCAGACCTGCCTGACGTAGGCACCGACGCGAGGCCACGCCTCTCGCACCCCTCAGGAAGTGCTCGGACCCTGTCGCGGGCGCCTCCTTCCCCGAGTCGCCACCGCCCGCGGCATCTCCGGGGCCGGCCCCTCCCAAAGCCTCGCAGAAGAAAATGCTACCTTTAAACGTATAACGAGGGCGTTATACTGCGCCTCCTAGATTCCCGCCGTAGCAACAGCGCGAGCCCAGGTAGCAGCGCCGGGAGAGCGTGGGCGTGGCTAAGCCCTCAGGCTACAAGGCCTCGGACTAGTCTCCGGGCTCCGGACCTCTAGGCGCGGCGAGCGCCCCACAGTCCCGCCCCGCGCCCCGCCCCCTTCTCATCGCTCCGCCCCAAGAGCCCCCCAGACCACTGCGCACGCGTCTAGTTAGCGCCTCAGGGAAGGCATGGACTTGGGAAGGTGTGGACTTTCCTGCTCTCGCTTTTCTTCGTCGGTTGTTGTTATTTGAAGGTTTGCTGAGGTTCCAGGACACGCCAAAGGTGACTAGCCGGGAGTTTCCTGAGTCTTCAGATAAATTTTTGGGACCACTTATCAGGACAAATAGATGTCTGTTCTCTCCAGAAAGAAGTGACCCATTGCATTGTCTCGAACTTAGACTGACCAAAAAGCGAGTCAACATACAAGAAACCTGAAAGGAAACTTTCTGACTTTATCAAAGTGACTTTATCAGAAGTGATAGCAGCTCAGTGTTAAACATGTCTATATCACTTCCTGTCAAGTGCCACACCTCAGAGATAATCACTGCAATAGTTCGTTGGGCAAACTATCAACCTTCCAATACATAAGTATATAGCGAGAGCTAAAGAATTTCAAACTGTCTTATTCATTATTTTTTCAAAATATGAGATCAAACTATATGTAAAGAATTTCCCCTCTTGCTTAATACATCAGGACATAGTTCCATAGGGACATACACAGATGCCACATATACTTTTTATGAACAGTTTTAGTGATGTATAATTGGCAAAATAAATTGTACATAGCTAAAGGATATAATTTGACCAGTTTTGACACCCTTGATAACATCTGTGCAATTAAGATAGTAAACATACAGTTGACACATCTTCCCCAAATTTCTGTATGTCTTTCTGTCCTTCTCTAATCCCTATTTCAGACTTCTCCTCTACTTGCTTCCTGATATTAGAGATTAGTTTGTATTTCCTATTACATAAGTTGAATAATACAGTGTGTACTTTTTGTCTGACTTTTTGTACTAATCAAAATTGTTTTGAGATGTACCCATGTTGTTGGGTGTATCATTCTCTTTTTTTTTTTATTGCTGAGTATTACTTTATTGTATGCATATATGACAGTTTGTTTATACATTCACCTGATAACTGCTGCTGTGGAGATTACTGTTTACTTTTTTTTTTTTTTTTTGCCCTGGGGATTGAACCCAGGGGCACTTAACCACTGAACAACATCTCCAGCCCTTTTTATTTTTTGTTTTGTGACAGAGTCTCACTAACTTGCTTAAGGTCTAAGTTGCTGAGGCTGGCTTTAAACTTGCAGTCCTCCTGTCGCAGCCTCCTGAGCAGCTGGGATTACAGGTGTAGGCTACTGCACCAGGCTATTGTTTACATTTTTTGCATGGACATACACTTTGTTTATATGTTATATTTTTATGGACATATACTGTACATAGGAGTGGAATAGCTGCCAGAGCGGTGGGATAGGCTGCTGAAAGATCAAATAAAATATCCAGATATGATGTATGAAGCATAATGTTTTAATGGAGAAATGCTTATTGGCAAGGTCCAGTGGTGATTTGTGGAACAGATAGCACCTCTGCAACTCAAGCTGCTCCACCAAGTAGTACCTCCTCTCCCTCATGGCATTTTTTCCTGTGGTGGTTAGATTGGCAAGTGACACATATCTTTCCATAGTGTCCTCAGTTTGTTGCAGTTGCCACTGTGAAGAGGACTTTTCCATGTTACCCTGCAGAAGCAGTAACATCGTTAGCATCACCTTGCTTAGTTTGTTTATATGACTAGTATACCAAGGAGCAACTGTCCTAGCATACATTCACACAGATGGCACTCACTTTCCCTAGTTTCCAGTGTGCGTAGGAGAAAGCCAGGGTCCTTCAAGATAATTTGTGTCTGGGCTGGCATGGTGGTGCATCCCCATAATCCCCAGCAACTCAGGAGGCTGAAGCAGGAGGATCTACAGATTTCAAGCCTGCCTCAGCAGCTTAGTGAGGCTGTAAGCAACCTAGTGAGACCCTGTCACAAAATAAAAACTAAAAATGTGGCTCAGTGGTTGAGCACCCTTGGATTCAATCCCTGGTACAAAAAAAAAAGATAATATGCGTCTGGACATTCTGACCCTGGTTTGTTCTCATTATTCCCTTAACTGTATGGTTAGGTTTTAGGAAACAGAAAGGGATCATTGAAGCACATGGTTTTTACTGTCCCCTTTTTCTTTAAGGATGATACATAGGTATATGTTTGTAACTTTTTAAAAAGACTGCCAATGTATTTCCCAAGAGTTGGACAACTTTCCTACCAGTAGTATATTGAAGTTCCAGTTACTCCACATTCTCATTTGCACTTAGTGTGCTCAATCTCACAGTGAATCATTGTAGTTTTATTTTACATCTCCCTAAAACATTTTTTTCACATGCTCATTTACCATTGAGCTGTAATCTTCTTAGATAAAGTGCCTTTTCAAACACTTTTCCAGTTTTAATTGTGCTATTTGTTTTTTCATTACTGTATCTAGATAATTCTTTATATACTCCAGTTACATGTGATATGGATATGTGATTTGGAGCTATTTTTTTCCCAGTGTGTGATATGACTCTGTGTCTTTTGAAGAACAGGCATTTTAATTTTGATGAAATTTAGCTTATCACTTTGTTCTTTTATGGATAATCTGTTTGATATCAAAGTTAACAAGTCTTTGTCTAAGCCAGGATCACAGAGACTTTTTTTTCCTATATTTTTGCCTATATGGTTTATAGATTTAGATTTGTTTCTTTTTTTGCTGTGCTGGGGATTGAACCTAGGGCCTCATTCATGGTAAGCAAGTGCTCTGTCACTGAGATACATCCTCAGCACTGTAGATTTAGATTTCATACTTAATTCTAATGATACATTTGAGATCATCTTTGTATATGGTGCAAGGTATAAGTCAAAGTTCATTTTTTCATATATATGAATTAATTCCAGCACTGATGTTGAAAAGATTAGTATTTTCCCCTTTTGAATTGTCTTTAAACCTTTATAGAAAATCAGTTATCTTTGCATGTGTATTTTTACATTCTGTTGTTTCTTTGACATCTTTGCCTATTTTATGCCAATATCACATTGTCTTGATTTATATAACTCAAAATAAGTATTGAAATCAGGTAGTTTAGACACTTTAATTTGTTCTTCCTTTTTGAAATTCTTTTAATCACTTAATTGTCTATTCTAGATTTCTTACATTTCCTTATTAATTTTAGAACAAACGTGTGAATATCTATAAAAATGTTGCTGGTATTTTTCTGGCAAGGACTTTGAATCTAGAAACCAATTTGGTATATTTCGAAAATATTGAGTCTTCAAATCCAGGAACTTAATTGATACATCTCTCTATTTAAGTCTTCTTTAATTTCTCTCAATAACATCTGAGGTTTTTGTGTACAGAGTCTTACACACTTTTTGTCAGAAAGATCCCCAAGTATTCATAGTTTTAAAATTCTCTTCTAAATCGTATTGTTTTAAAATTTTAAGTTCTAATAGCTTGTTACCAATATGTAGACATGTTTTTTTTTTTTTTGGTGGGGGGTACTGGGGATTGAACTCAGGGGGCACTCAGCCCCTGAGCCACATATCCAGCCCTATTTTGTATTTTATTTAGAGAGAAGGTCTCATTGAGTTGCTTAGCACCTCACTTTTGCTGAAGCTGGCTTGGAATTGGTGATTCTCCTGCATCAACCTTCAGAGCAGCTGGTATTACAGGCATGCGCCACCACACCCGGCTATAACTGATTTTTAATATTGATTTCTATCTTTCAACCTTGCTAAAATAATTCATTAATTCTAGGAGTTTCCATTGGAATCTAGTACCTTCCAGGTCATAAGTCATGTTGTCTGTGAATAAAGACTGTTTTACTTTCTTTTCAATATAGATGAGTTTTATTTATTTCCCTTGCCTGATCACACTGTAGCTCTACTCAATTCAATGATAAATTATTGGCATTAAATAAATGTAGAGCCATATCAATTATATTTATTTAAGACTCATTTTTTTTTATGTCAGTTCTCCACAGGTTGATTTCCAGGTCAAGAGAAGAAGAGAAAAACTTTGTCTTGTTCCTGATCCGAGAAGGAAAGCACTCAATCTTTAATCATTAATATGACACTCATAGGCTTTTTTCACAGAGGCCCTTTATCAGGTGAGATACATTTTTTTAAGCAGAAGAGTGGATGTTAGATCTTGTCAAATGCTGTTTTGATGTCTACTTAGATGATCTTGTGATTTCATTTGTTAAAATGATGAATTACATTGATTGATTTTTGGATGTTAAACCAATCTTGAATTGCTGCATCTTTTGATATCCTTTTCACCTATTGTTGGAATTGACTTGCTAAAATTTTTTTTAGAACTTCTGTGTCTATGTTCATAGAGTATATTGTGTTGTGCTTTTCTAGTGCCCTGTGTAAGTTGAGAGATATTTCTTTCTTTTCAATGTTCTGGAGAGTTTGTGTAGAAATGGATATTGTTTATTCTTTAAATGTTTCGTTGAACTCAACAATGAAACCACCTGAATCTTTAGTTTATTTGTGGGAAGGTTTTTAATTAAAATTATGTTACTTCCATAGACCTAGGACTACTCAGGTTACCTTTTTATTCTTGAATGAGATCTGGAGATTAACCTCTTTTAATTGATTGGTATAATATTGTTCATAGTATTCTCTGATTGTCCTTTTACTACCAGTAGTGTCTGTAATGGCAAAATCCCTCTCATTGCTGATATTGATAATTTGTACCTATATTCTCCTTTACCTGGTCAGTCTGGTTAAAGGATTGTCAATTTTATTGATCATCTCTAAGAACAAGTTTTTGGTTTCATTGATTTTTCTCTATTCTTTTTTTTCCCCTCAATTTATACTCTGATCTTTATTTCCTTTCTCTTGGGTTTAAATTGCTATCCATGTTCTATCTCAGTGGAAACTGTGATCATTAATTGAGACCTTTCTTCTGATCTAGCATAGGCATTTAGTGCTATAAATAATCCAGTAAATACTGCTTTACTGGCATATTACTGGTTCCTGAGCTGAGGGA